AAATAAATAAATAAATAAATAAATAAATAAATAAATAAATAAATAAAAAAAATAGATGTGATATAAATAGGTAATATTTACAAAATGAATGATAATACCACTTGGCTGGCTCTATATTGCTACCACTGCAATGAATGGTACATAACTATCCTTACTACTGTCACCATTAAGATCAACTCTGGAACTAAAAGGAGGGAATAAACTGACAGATGAATAATATTTTTCCAATCCAGAGAATAGTTTTGAATTTTTTGACTCTACTTAAAATTGATTTCTATTAGTTTTAAATGAACAAGTTAGTTGTAAATGAACAAGAATCATAACAAGTATTTTTAGCAAAAGGCTCTACCTAGCTGCTTAGCTGATAGATCTTTAAAAAAAAATCCAAATTTGGAATGAAAAGAAATAAGCTTGCTGAATGCAGAGTCTACTAATTCAGTGCTGGATGAGGACTAGCTATACAAGTTACACAGCTAGCCATCTGTAAACACTCATCGTTATGAAGACTATAGCTTTATCACTTTAACTGGATGCCAAAGAGACAGGTTACAATTACATTGTTAATCTTTCAAACTTAATGCTAATTTAAGCAACATATTTCCTTGTTTTCTTCAAAATCCTTAGTATCTATTTCAGAGGACAGTATTAGATTCCTTTATTCACTTCAAGACTTGGTCAGAAACTGCAGTCATTTGTGTGCTCATAAGGATTGCTATCTCCAGGTGACTTAGGACTCTGAAAACTATCCTCACTAAAAGAATGAAATAAGAGAAGCAAGCATATTTTTCTCTTTGAATTGCAAATAGCTGCTACTGCATTGCCCTTCCCCTCAGCTTTAACCACTAGTAAACCTCACGTCAAGTTCTCGGGTTGAATCATGTTTTTTTTTTTTTTTCTTGCTTAAAGGTTCTCCTATATATGGTCTCTAGATGTGTGAATAATCTGATTTCAAATATGTAAACATCCACTGACTAAGGGAATTGGTTGCAGTAAGCCTTTTCTAAAACTGCTACTGCTACTATTATTTTATTTATTTACAATACAGACATTGCCCCTCTTCCTGGCTCCCCTTCCTTCAGTTCCTCATCTCATCCCCCCCTTCCCCTTTACTCCTAGAGGATGTTCCCACATCCCCAGGACTCCCACCTCCCTGGGGCCTCAAGTCTCTAGAGGATTAGGCACATCTCATCTTCTACTGAGGTCAGAACAGGCAGCACTCTGCTATACATGTGCAGCAGGGGTGGAGGGAGTCTCAGACCAGCCCCTGGATGCTGCCTGGTTGGTGGCTAGGTCTCTGGCATCTCCCTGGGGTCCAGGTTAGTTGTGACCGCAGGTCTTCCTATGGGGTTGCCCTCCTGTTCAGCTTCTTCAATCCTTTTTATTAACTCCATATGAACTATTGAACTGGCTTGTCCTAGCTACCTTGAGAGACACGAATCATAGGTTTTTCAGGTTAGAGCCCATGGATCCTGAGGCACATTGTTCTTTCAAGTTCCTGAGAGACCAATACACTACTTCAGGCAGTGAAGCATTCAGGTCACTTTGTGTTTTTCCATATATTCCCTCAGTGGTCAAGGAAGCAGGAAACTTGACAGGACAATTGGTCTTAGACATGAATCTTGTGTACCCTGTAAAGTTTTCAAACTTTATTGTATTCTGGCAACTATAACTGTATTGATCCTGGCAACTGCCATTATCCACTAATGATTAAGGTATAGTGAGTATTATTGCTCTCAATAAAATGGTCATGGCCTCAGTTGTGCTGTGTCCCCGTCCAATCAGCCTGATTTAATTCCTTATAGCTGTATTAGGTGATGTTGGCTTAGTAAGAAAGTTCTGATGCCTACAATGAACCAATACCATTCAGTCACTTGAACTGTTATTCCACTTTTTAAAAAAGTGTATGTTTTGCCTGCATGTGTCTATGTACCATTATATGCAGTAACTGCAAAGGCTAGAAGAGGGTGTCAGATCCACTGGGGCTGAGAATACAGAAGGTTGTGAGTCACCATGTGAGTGCTGAGAATTGAATCTGGTTGCTCTAAAAGATCAGCCATCCAGTGCTCTTAATTTAGTGTCATCTACC